ATTATTATTAATAATAATATATAATATTATGTATTGGTCAGATATAAAGGTACACCTACAGTATGAGTTTAATCAGATCTATTTATTAAATTGGGTTTAACTTAAAGGTAAATTAAAAGTAATCTGTTCACTGACAAAATTTCAACTTTGTTTCAAGTCAATATCGATATTAACCTCCAAATGTAAATTTTTCCACCTTGTCTGACAACTTCTTAAAAATAACTCAATCTTTTACAAGCAACAAAATTTTGTTTTATTGGGCCAATTTCATTCCACATAGAAAGCTGACATTTCCACTCATTAAACTAAATGGGCATGCCAGTGGTAAATGTCCCAAAAGATTAATAAAATGCCTTCTTGTAATTTAAAGCCACACAATGCATGGTAACATTAATAGTAGTAACTTATCTTGAGCAAAATCCTAGTCTTTTAGATATACTAAAAATTGAACGGGGTTTTTTTCAACTACAAAGGTAAACCTTGTAGGGTAGGCAAGGTGGGTTGTATGTCATGTGTGAGTTCCAGCACCTTTTTTTTTAACAAAAAAGCACTGAGAAGAACAATAGCATCAACATAACTATAAATCAGAACTGAAGAATCTTGGTTTCCATTAATTCTTTGTGGGTTCCCTATCCTGTTCTGGACTCCAAAGAGCTTGGAGCAACATACCTATGGAGATGATGAATTGTCCCATTTTATCTTTGCCACGATCTTCTGAGGTATTGGATGAAAGACAAGAGGATTGTGAAAAGCAAACAGCTAGAAAACTTGACAAACTTTAAAAAGCCGCTCCAAATCTGTGATATTAAGTAATGAATAAATGCGATAAATAAATTAAAGGATGCTGTCAAGTTACAGGTTCGCTATTGTAATGATTTGTATATGAAAAACAATACTTGCTTCTTCTCTCTTACAAAAATATATTTTGGAGAAGCAAAATCCAGGGTTTGACACAGTGTTCAGTTTCTCTACACCTGGTGACATCTGAAAGGGTGCAAGCATTCCTTTTGACCTACATCCTTGGCAAGCGCTTTAAATTCCTTTGGTCTGATTAGTGAAAATAGTTACTGTATTTAATCAAGTACAAACCACAGCATTTTAACAAACCGCAAATGGTCAGTGTCTTTTTTAAAATAAAAGGACTGGGAGCATGTATGTTTTTCTATGCGGAAGACATAATTCTGTTAAAAGGAAAGTGGAGAACACCTTCTGAAAGTAAAGCAGATTTCCTCCATAGTTCTTTTGCTACTACTACTTCCCTCCTCACAGTTTATCATCATCATCATCAAAAACAAGCTATGCATTTCAGACCAGCTAAAGTCTTGCTGGGTCACCTCAGCATTGTAAGAATGAGCAAGGAACACCAGAAATGTACATCAAGAGTATAAGTTCCCAGCAGGGTCACCCAAGATGTATAGGTCATCCCAGCTGCTCGGCAGAAGAAAGCAGGCACCATACAAGACAGCACCAGGAAAACGTTGTAGGCAGATGATCACTTCAGTTATAACAGCTAAGCCATCAATCCGCACTGTGTAGTAGAAGACAATGATAAATTGGTTCACTTAAGCTTGTGATAAAAGGTATTTCAATATTAAACATGCTTGAAACATGCAAACATAATCAGGAAAATATATAAATGCATGATAACTTGAATAATTATTTATTTGCATAAGAAATATGGAATTGTAAGCTTTCAAACAATTTTATCTCGCTTTGTTGTAATAAGAGACCAACATTCAAGCTGTTGTTTTGTCAAAGCAATGTGATGTTTTCCTGTACCCAAGTAGCAGCATCCGATTTCAATTTCATTTTTAGAAAGCTTTCCTTGTATGTCAGCTATGTTTGGAGCTTTCCTAAATATTCTCCTTTAAAAAAAAATTAGTCAATATGTATTTTGAATTTTCAAAATGTTTGGCAAGGGATAAACTAGCATTATAGGATGCTGCAAAGATATCAACCATTTTGATTAAACACTTGAGAGTCTGTGTTGTGAAACCCTGATTTTTGTGGTGTAGATGTCATTCGGAGCTGTAGCATTATCACAACACAGAGGCTGAAGGGTTCCTTCCCTTTCCACTTTTGGATAAAGGAAGAATCAACCAACACATGGCATTTGGCATAAATAAATGCAGTTTGTGTGTTTAGCACATTCTTCTACATTCCCTCTGATGCCACGAGTTTTACAGACAAACGAAAAAAAGGTAATACTTGACTTACGACTATAATTGACCCTAAGTTTCCATTGTTAAGCAATACAGTTGTTTACATTTTATGCCATTTTATGCCACAGTTGTTACGTGAATCACTGCAGGTGTTAAAGGCATTACTAACATGGTTGTTAAGTGGATCTGGCTTCACCAATGACTTTGCTTGTCAGAAAGTAGCCAAATGTGATTATGTGTCCCTGGGACACTGAAACATTATAAATACATGCCAGTTGCCAAGCATCCAAATTTTTGATTATGTGACCGTGAGGATGCTGCAATGGCCGTACGTGTGAAAAATGGACATAAGTCACTTTTTTCAATGCTGTTGTATCTTCGAACAGTCACTAAACAAATGGTTGTAAGTCAAGAACTACCTATAGTTCTGAATGACCTCAATATGATATTGAAACTCATAGTAACACCACAAAAGTCCCCTGAACTGGCATTAGATAGCAAAGGGACCCAACATTTTCAGAAGGATATTTATTTTTAAAAACTGTGGGAGACCAAATATTATTCTGTTTACAGCTATAGATGAAGAAAATACTGCAGAATATCAACAATCATCATCACTGTTGCAACACATTTTGAGTCAGAAACCTGTGATTATAATAAGCATAGCTTTATTTCCTGTCTATCTATTCCTAAAAAGGTTTTTGGACTAAGCTTCTTTGCATCTGGTCCTGACACAAATTAGGATCTCCTAATGAGAGGTGTCAGAGGCATGTTTAAAAAAAAATCAAGATGGAAGCCAAAACCCATCCCTTTTACATGTGATGCACAATACATATAAAGAGTGTAGGGCACAACTGCCATCAATCAGGCTCATGTTTACATATAGAGATTAAACCTCAACAATGAATGGAATGATCGGTAACCGGAAATGTAGGCCGTGTGTTATGTAGAAATTAAAGCCACCACAAACCCGGGTTCATAATATTAGACTCTTTCCAATGTAGTAACATTCCTGTTGGAACCTAATATAGCAAAACTCTCAGGGACAGTGTGTAAATAACAATGTAGCAACTAGTAGCAAAGTCTGTTCCTGAGAAATGAATGGCTTTAAAGTTTTGGCGATTATTAACTCAAAGTATGTCAAGAACTGGCCCTTAGACTACTCATACTTTCTAGAATCTACGTATAATTAAAACTATTGGAATAAACATGGAGACATTTGAATTATTAGCACCTGACCCCGAGAGTTAGAGTGAAGGCTCAGAACAAAACTTTATTTCTATGATGTAATGTAGGGTGAAGAACGTTCTATCCTTTGCCCCATTTTAGGTCTTACAGTTTCTCTTTCACCTGCAAACTTCACCAATGGAAAGGTCTAAGCAGGAGCCATAAGTATTTGGAAGGATGGATCAAAACATTGTTCGGCTACCCCTAGTATCCAATGGAGGATGTGTTTTTCTTTTCCTATTGATTGTCTGTTATGGGTCATCTGCAAAACCCAAGCAGAGAATTTTACTGAAGGTAGAGCAAAACAGACATTTACCAATGCAGTTTCGCTTGCTCCAAAACTAGAGGCAAGGGTTCATCCGGAGCTTTCAAATTGTTAGGACCAAATAGGGTCCCTGTAATGAAACTAGAAAGGCCCTTTCATTTATCTTATTCAGACACCATCCTTCCAGACTCTGTATTACGACATTGTCCTTTTCTACAGCCCCTGTATAAAATGTGATTTAGGGATTTCTAAACACACACATAGATAAAAAGGAAGACTTGACTACAAAATTTTATTTCAGTAACAACAGATGTTATTTATGGACCTTTTTCCAGGGAAATGAAGCATGGCTCAAAAAGATAATTGCAGCTGAATTACACTGCAATGAACTGTTACAGATAGTCCTCAGTTTACAACAGCAGTTGAGACTGGAATCGCTGTCACTAAGAGACCTTGTCATAAAGCACAATGTCACATAACAGTCTCAGTTGCTGCAATAAGCAAGGATCTCATGAAACCAAGACTTCTGACTTCTTGCTGGCTTCTCCATTGACTCTCCTTGGGGAAAGCCAGCGGGGAACAATGGAAATTATGATCACATGACTTGCTGTGACATCATAGTTGTGAGCCAGGAATTGAGTGCTTGAATTATGATCATGTGACTGCAAGGGCACTGTCACTCCTTCAGCATTGTCATAAGTTCGATTGGTTGCTAAACCCTAACTTAGGACCACTTGTAATATAACCAAACTCTTTATAAAGAGAGGGAGAAACTTACTTGACTGTATTTTGGTGGACTTCAGTTTCTGTGTACAGTAAAAAATATACCCCCAAAACTGTTGCTATCTTTTTTGCTTAGTAGTATTGCTCCCATCTTGAAAAAATGGCTATCATATTTCACATTGTTAGTTATTATGTTCAGCTATCTGAACTGTCATGGCTATTCCAGAGTCTGCACAATCAGAAAATTCTGATTGAAACACAGTCCGATTTCATTTGGGATTCAATGCCAAATTTTAAATTTAGGAATCCATATCACAATTACCATTGGAAATCAACAAACTTTTCCCTTCCTATTTGAGAAAACAGGATGATTTTTTTCAGATTTAATAATCTCAGCCAAATACAGTTAGATATCAGACAAACAGATTTAGGTTTATGTATCTTTAAATCTGATACTATAACAGGAAATTGGAGAATTGATCTGTCAGAAATCTTTTTAATATTTAATATTAATCATTATGTTCAGAGGCCGTAAAGTTCTGATTACCAGAAGCAGGGGAACAGCATAAGATGACTTGCCTAGAAGTATTTAGTAGTCAGCTGAAGAGATAAAATGAACTCTGTGATGCTTATTTTTTTTAATAACCCCTTTAGGTATGTATACAGTACTATAGATTTCTGTCTCTTAAAAACAGCACACCGTGATATTAAGCTTCTCAGAGTGATATGCAAAGTATCTATTATGTATTCATAACTAGTCATTCATTACCCATGAAAGTTTAATCAAGTGATTGTACAGTTTTATGTAAGTGAGCGATACCATGATTCAGTTATCAAAGTTTTAAAAATAAATTCTGTGTAATGCCGTTTTAGCAGTACAGAGCTCATTTAAGAGTGCCACCTGAATTTTTTTCTCGTTAATAAATTATATTATTATTTTCCCTCGATATTTTATTAAAATGTACTTTTAAAAATATAAATACATACTCTTTACAGATTGGAAGCAAAAGATGCTTTTGGAGAATACCCTCATTTTCACAAGCAAGACATACAAATATGTCCTCAGTGCCCAAATTATATTGATAAAATGGTGTGTGTGTGTGGGGGGGAAGTAGACAGGCTAGAATAATAATATTCATCAACAGAACGAATAATTTGTTTTATAAATATTTTATCTCCTGTACATTATTGCATTGGGAGCCACAACTGTATGCAGCCATCATTCTGTAGGAAAGTTTAGAAACGCAAACCAAACTGAGATATGTATATACATGAGTGTGAAGGGAAATGTGTGTATGAATAATAAATATGTCAGCACATTATCTGATTGAACAATGTGCACAATCTCTTTAGTAAACATATAAATGATGAAATGTCTTTGAAGTAGATATTTAGCAACGGGGCGAGGGTGAGGGAATAACTGAATGCAAAATAAATTAAATAAAAATTGTAAACAAGTCATCATCTTACTTATGGGATATATGGCTTTGTTACTTCTAAGTCTTTCTAAATAAAATGATAAATTAAAGACATTAAATTTTTCAAAAAGAAAAGTTTCAAGGCTGAGCTGTGCTTCTAAATATTTGCACTGCCACTAAAATGATTTAAAATCAAATGAGAGATAAATCTGCAGCGTTACACAAGATGTACTCATACTAAGGCCTAAACAAGACACATATTAAGGAATGGGAGTACATTAGGTAATAAGAAGTAACAATCCACTAATTCTCTCACTCAACTTTTGTGGCACACCAGAATCTGCTGACCAGAATATGAATAAGTTGGCTTCCAGAGACCCATGTATACAATTCTGGTTTTTCAAGTCACACAGGAAAATATTCCACATTCCTTCTTTACAAATCATAATATCCAGTTAAAAACAGACATATGAACCTTTGATATATTTTGTGCACAATATATATATATTTGTAAACCAGATATCTGACCTTTACTTAAAACCCCCACAAGCCTATGGATTCTAGATTGCAATTCATCCCAATGAGTTTTGTAACTTATTTTCTGGGGACAGAATCAAGCCCAAGATCTTAAAAACACAGTCTTGTTAAAAAAAAAAGACATCTTGCTCTCATCTTCTTTTGCCATTGTTCCAAATGGCCAAAGTTATGCCTTGCTTATTCCCAATTCAGTAGGGAGCAAAGAGGATAGATGCTGGAGTAGCTCGGAGAGGCCCGTGTCCTGCCCTTAGGAGAGCTGTGGGTATCGCAGGAGCCTGGAAGAGAGCAGCAGAAGGTCGTGGTGGGAGAGTCAGAGCTGTGGATACAGCCGCAGCTGCAGCAGCCAGAGGAGAGGAGAGAAAGGCAGGTGCCAAAGGCTTAAGAATATCTTTTTGGAAGGCCAGCTTTGCCTATGGAAAGAAGGGAAAGAAATACTGCTATAAGTGGTTGATATAACAACAACAACAACAACAACAACAACAACAACAATAATAATAATAATAATAATAATAATAATAATAATAAAGTTGGAAGGGATCTTGGAGGTCATCAAGTCCAACCCCCTGCTCAGGCAGGAAACCCTATACCATTTCAGACAAATGGCTGTCCAGTTTCTTCTTAAAAACTTCCAGTGTTGGAGCATTCACAGCTTCTGGAGGCAGGTTGTTCCACTGGTTAATTGTTCTAACTGTCAGGAAATTTCTCCTGAGTTCTAGGTTACTTCTCTCCTTGATTAGTTTCCATCCATTGCTTCTTATCCTGCCTCCAGGTGCTTTGGAGAATAGCTTGACTCCCTCTTCTTTGTGGCAGCCCCTGAGATACTAGGACATTGCTATCATGTCACCCCCCCCATCCTTCTCTTCATTAAACTAGACATACCCAATTCCAGCAGCTGTTCCTTATATGCTTTAGCCTCCAGTCCCCTAATCATCTTTGTTGCTCTTCTCTGAGCTCTTTCTAGAGTCTCAACATCTTCTTTACATCGTGGTGATCAAAACTGGATGCAGTAGTCCAAGTGTGGCCATACCAAGGCATTGTAAAATGATATTAACACTTCATGTGATCTTGATTCTATCCCTCTGTTAATGGAGCTCGTTTAAAAGGTCTCCTGACACAGCTTTTAATTTCTTGTTCTTGCCCCTGGCACCTTTTCTTTCTCAATTTCAGCCCAGGAGGTTAGAAACGGCTACAGCATTTCATATCCATTCAGCTGCTGGTGAATAGGCAGAGCTTCCTGAATGAGTTTTGGGCTCTGCTGCATTCCATTAATGCAAGATAGGGAGTCCTACTCCAAATTTATGCTGTATAGTAGTTAAAGTGGCAATGAGAACAAGGTCAACAACAGAAAGAAATATACTCCGAGCACTTGGGAAACAACTGCACATATTCCAATAAAGCACAGTTGGTTCCTCAGACAAAACAGAGACAGTGTAACATCTTATGTTTGAAGAAAAAGGGAAGGTGGTCTGGTTGTTTTCTTGTAGATGTAAATTAGGTATTTACCTGGGGCTTAGGCTGAAGCGTGCCCTATTGTGACTTCAGCTTTTTCACCAAGAAACTAATAAGCTAATAAAACCTGAAGGACTTCAATTTCATTTTTATAATGAAGGAGGCATATTAGTTTTCTGTTTGGTTTTAAAGGTCAGCTGAAATGTGCTATACATTAAGATGGAAAATAACTGTACCTTGAACACTCCTGAGTTAAAAAAAAAAAAAACTAGCTTCCTGAAAAATAATTGCCACTCAATTTGGTGGAGAATCTACTTTTGAAAAATGTACATATCTCTTTTCTAGGCATATTCATGAATGTAGAGAAAGGTATCAAAGCTTTTCAATAGGATAATCACACCATGCAATACTTACTGCTAGAATGTTTGGATTACGCTGTAGTTTGTTATACGGACTATATTTCGGTTTTGTAGGTTTCCCTGCAACTCTGTCCTTGTGCCTCCTGCTAGAAATGTGCTGAAAAATCAATACAAATGTTGTGTTTAAAACTTATCAGTTGATAGTGTGACCAGTGTATACTCTCCAGGTAAACATATCTACTTATTTCAGGGGAAGGTAAGTTGACGAAAGTTCAGAGAAGTAATTTTTAGTGGATATAAAAAGTCTACACATCCCTGTTAAAATACCAGGTATTTGAGATGTAAAAAAATGAGACCAAGATAAATCACCTCAGATTTGTTTCCCCACCTTTAATATAACATATAAGCCATACAATTCAACTGAAAAATAAAATGAACCCTTTTAAGGGGAGGAGGGGAATAGCAATAAAAAACAAGAATAATGTTACTGCAAAAGTGTTCACACCCTTTAATAAGTAGGGATGTGGCTGTATTCAGAATTAACCAATCACATTCAATCTGATGTTAAACAATAGTCAGTACACATCTGCCATCAGTTAAAGTGATTCTAATCAAGCTCCTGTAAAGTTAAGCTGTGCTAGTAGGATTTTTCTGATATTTACCCAGTTGCCTCTTAGAGCAAAAGCCATGGTCTTCAAAGAATTTACAAAGCATCAAAGGCCTCTCAATGTTGGAAGGTATTGGGAGAAGGGAATTTTTTCCCCCAAGGCATTGGATATACCATGGAACACAATGAAGACAGTCATCAACAAGTTGTGGCACAACAGTGACATTACCAAAAACTGGATGTCCCTACAATATTGATGGACAAAACTGGTCTGAGAGGCGGCTAAGAGGCCTATAGCAACATTTCTGGCAAGTACTGATTATGTACTACATGTGACAACAGTCTCCTCTATTCTTCATATGTTTGGGCTTGTGGGGTAGAGTGGCAAGACAGAAACCTTTACTTACATATTTTTTTTTGCAAAAATCTATATCAAGTTTGACAAAGGCATGTGGGAAAATATGTTATGGTCTGATGAAACTAAGGTTGAACTTTTTGGCCACATTTCTAAGAAATATGTTTGGGGCAAAAACAACACTGGGCATCATCAGAGGTACATCACACCCTCAGTGTAGTATGTTTGTGGCAGTATTATGCTTTGGGATGCTTTTCTTCAGCTGGAACTGGAGCTTTAGTCAAGGTGGAGAGAATTATGAACCGTTCCAAATATCAGTCAATTTTGGTACAAAACCTCCAGGCTTCTGGTAAAAGTCAAAGAGGAATTTCAACATGACAGTGACCCAAAGAGTACCTCCAAATCAACAAAAGAATAGCTTCACCAGAAGAAGAACAAAGTTTTAGAATGGTTCTTTCAGAGCCCGGACCTGAAAATCTATGGGGTGATCTGAAAAGGGCTGTGCCTAGACACACTCTCTCAATCTGACAGATTTGGAGCGCTTTTGCAAAGAAGAGTTGGCAAAGAGTCCTAAGGCAAGACGTACCATTTTGATGGGCTCCTATTCCAAAAGACTAAATGCTGTTGGAAAATCAAAAAGTGCTGCAGCAATGTATTAGTTTAAGGGTATGCATGCTTATGCAACCATGTTATTGCAGGTTTTTTATTGCTATTTTCCCCCCTAAAGGTTTTGAGCTTGTTTTTCAGTTGAATTGTACAGCTTTATAACTTACATTAAAGGTTACATTAAATTCTGAAGTATTTTGATCTGATTTTTTTCTATCCCCAAAATGTGGCATTTTAAGAGGGGTATGTAGATGTTTTTATATACACTACCCATACTGCTTATGCAGCGTATCTGCAGAAACAAGCAGCATTAAAAAGGATAAAAATTAACATTAACTTCAAATACGTATGGATCAAGACTTTCCTAGATAACAATGAAATTTAAAGGATGCTTTGTACAATAAGACAGCAAGATAAATAAGTAGGGAAGATGTGCTGGCAGCCATTGTGTAACAATGATCAATTCTTTCCAACAGAACTGGAAATAAATTTATCAAATTTATGGTCATCCACCTTATACAAGGTGGTATACAATGAAACCAACAATTAAAACATATTATAAAGCTACTTAAAAGTTAAATAATTAAACAAGAACAAGTTCACAAGAGGGTTAAAACTAGAATGTTGTATGTAATGCTGCCAATCCATATGGTAAAGGCAACCATAGGCCACAGTAAGCAGTTGTTCATTTGTTGGTTTTTCTAGCATGGAGACAGGCTGCTGTCATTTGCAAAAGTAATTGTTCTACTCAGTAACGACATGGCTACAAATGTTTTACCAATGCTGTTGACCAGTAACACATTTTGTCTAAATATTTTCAGCATGATGACAAATTTTTGAAGGCATATCCTGAGTTGAGTTTAGTGCTAATAACTAATAGGAGTACAAATGGGAGATTTTTTATCCCTTTTGATCAAGGGATTAGCCTGTATCAAATTAAATGATGCTAATTAACGGAATAAGTATGTAATATGTACAAAAGACATACCTGCTTAAGTTGAATTTCTGAATTGACATGGACATCACAAATCTCACAATGAAAAGTTTTGTTCTGTAGTCCCGAACCCATACTAGTTCCATGAGTCTTCAATCTGGATCCAGGCCGAGGATAAGATTTAATTGGACCAGCACCATTCCTAGCTTCAACCATTGTCTTGTGTTTGGAACCTGACAAGTCATTATTATAAAAGAATCAGAAAACTTTAATGAGGAAACACAGATTTTTTTAGTCATTGAAACATCTCTATTCTTTCCTAGATTTTCTGTTAAATAGGTAGATACAAATAACAAATTTATGGTTGATCACAGTCCTTTTTTATATAGTGCTCTGCAGGTTTTGGAAATTTTCAAGACATTTCAGAACCCATTCACACAACTATGAGACTGCCAGGCTCTACTGGCATTGATCAAAGGATTGTTGCAGGATCCAATCTGGGTTGATCACCAGGACCAGAGGTTTTGTCTTTCGAGGTTTCAGACCCATCTTCAGCACGAGTCTAAAAGCTCTGAAGATCAAGTCTACCACAAGTCCGAAAGCTTGGAAGAAAAAACCTCTGGTCCCAGTGACTGACCCAGACTGGATCCTCCTGCAACATTATTCTGGGACACATGTATTTATTAGTCATGAAAGGATTATTTATCACACCTTCTTACTACCAAATCATCCACAACTTCATATGTAAGAAAAGCGTGATTCCCAAAAACTATTCCTATTTATTTATTTATTTTATTAATTTTTTTTTCATCAACATATGTTAATTTTTCCAATCAACAAGTTGTCTGGAGTTTGCTAAGCTAATACATGTTCAATTCCTAATCCTTCATTCTTTTCTCTAACCAAGAATAAAATAAGTTCCAAATTTGATAGTAGTCTGTATCTTCTTTGTCTTTCAGCCTCATAGTTAGTCTGTCCATCTCTGCACATTCCAATATCTTCCTGATTATTTCTTCCTCTGATGGCAATCCTTCATTCTTCCAGTATTGTGCAAAAATTATTCTCGCTGCTGTGGTAATGTGTAGAATTAAATATAATTTCTGCTTATTGGTCTTTTCAGACATAATGCCTAGTAAGAAAAGTTCAGGTTTAAAATCTACTTGTTCGCCCAATATTTTTTCTAACCACATATATATGTTTTTCCAATAGGCCTTTGCCTTCCCACATGTCCACCAAATATGATAATACGTGCCTATGTTATGTTTACATTTCCAACATCTATCTGACATATTTTAAAACATTTTTGCTAATCTTGCTGGTGGAAGGTGCCATCTATAAAACATTTTATACAGATTTTCTTTGTATGAAGTTGACATTGTTAATTTATAGTTTCTCTCCCATAACATTTGCCATTTTTCTAATTCTATGTTATAACCAATTTTTTTTGCCCATCTTATCATTGTTTCTTTCACTTGTTCACTTTCCATATCTAAAATTAACAAAAAATTATACATTTTCTTAATTAATTTCTCATCTGAGGTTAACAAAATCTTATCAAACACAGTTTGATCCTTGTAAAATCCATACATTTTTACATCTTTTTCATATCTACTTTGTATCTGTAAATGTGCCCACCAGGACAGATTAATTCCTAAATTTTCCAATTCTTGTTTAGATTTGAATTTCCCATCAATATCTAAAATATCTTTATATGTCCATACTTTTTCAAAATCTACCAGGTTCAGATGTATAAATGCCTCCATCGTTGATAACCACCCTGGAATTTTTGAGTATATTTTAGCTTTAATTTTTTCCCATACTGTTAACAAGGCATTTCTTATAAAATGATTTTGAAAGTACTTATGGACTCTGTTTTTCCCGTACCATAAAAAAGCATGCCACCCCAATTGTAAATCATGTCCTTCTAAATACAAAAACCTTTTATTTCTAAGGGTGTTATCCACTCTTTCACCCATGTTAACACTGATGCTTGATAATACAATGTCCATTCCGGCAACCCAAAACCTCCATTTTCCTTAGCATCTTGTAACGTTTTGAAAACTATTCCTATTTTTCATCCTTTTAGAATGTTAAAAAAAGGATTCTAGAAAGAAAAGGCATTTTACAGTAATAAAGTTATACAGCAAAATGAATTGCTCAACTTCTTTATGAACTGATATTTTTTTATTTCCATGTTCTTCTGTTGTACATAAAGGAGAAATAACGAATCACATTCCCTAATAGTACTAATGAGTACAGATTCATTTTTATTTTACTCTTTGAGATATTGCTACCATTCCCACAGATATTTAAAATTATCCTTCCAGCATTCTTGCATATTAGTTTTATCCCAAATATTTAATCACTTTTATTTTTAATGCCATTCACTCTGATTAGCCCTCTTGATGCACATTTAAAACAGTTTTTAAAAAATTCTATCCAAATTACTCTGCATTTTGTACTTCTTGTACATAGAAACAATCTTATGCTTTAAATCATGTATTTGAACAAGCAGATCTTTTACTGGGAGATGCTCTTAAGACAGTCATTATTCTCAATTATTTTTGAACCTCCAAAGAATCCAATCATTTTATATACTCTCTCATTTTGTTTATCCATATCCATTTGTGTCACCTGGCAGAGTTACTCCTAGATCACATTTATTCAGAATGTTGCACAATTCTTTCAACAACATCAACCCTCATTCCTCCATTATTGCCATTCACTGAAGCATAATACGCAACTGTTTCTAACTTATGGCTTCCTTCTTTCATATGCACCCAAAAGAACTTTGATGTACTAATTCCAATTCATATTTTTCATATATCTTTTAGTTCATAGTTAATACTTCAATTTATAGTTAAAATTACACCTTCATTTTTCCGTATGTACTCATCAATTCCATTCCACAAGATCAGATCACTTCCATTCCAATTTTCTTACATCCTTCTCCTTTTTAAATTTCATACAAAATAACTGCAAGTAACACATTATTGCCTGCATTCTACTAGTTAGGAGATATATGCAATATACTGACATACACAGGGATGCAAAAACAATCATTTTTCTCTTTTAAACCACTGTTATAGCAGAAGACAAGTTTTTCTGTAAGTTTTCAAGAAGTCAATTCTTCTTGAATATCCCGTGTTTCCTTTACAACTTGAATATGAAGACATGCAAAGGTGAATCAGGGGTAAGGGGTTTTTTTTCCCATTCACCAATTCTTTGAAATGGAGCTTTCAAAGGAAAAATTGGCTATAAATGCAGTAAATTAGCCATTCATGGTGGAGAGATTCAATAGTTCAATAGTCTCCTTTGTGATGACTATGGAAACTAACTAACTTTCAGCCAATTGCTAAGGACAATGTACCTCATAGGTTTGTTATAAGAATAAAAGTACTGCATTATATACACAGCCTTGAACATTAAAAAAAATATCAAACACAGCTCTAATATAACAATAGAATTAAGCAAGAGTAGAGTAAGAGCAAACTGTTTCTTTTGTGCTTTAGGAATCCTGTTTAGCATTCTAATCCCAGCATTCTTTTTATCTCTAAAAATTTCTAAAATTAATTTCAGAACTGGAGTGTGTAGTTCCTTCAATCATTTTTATGTCTCTCTGCCATCTACTGATGCACAGTATGATTAATTAAAGTTGAAACACTTAATTGATTTGCATATGTGCTTCTGTGTATTAACACAAGCAGAATCTTGATACAATCAGCATACTTGGTTTTTATTTTTATTATTTTATGTTTAAAATAAAGATACAAAGAAAAGAAATCCCAGGTAATTGGGCTGGCAATGGGGTAGTCTGCATACCACCTGTGAAAGTCTACATGCTAGTAGCCTGTGGGGCACAAGCCTGCATAGGATAGAAGCAGCCCTCTTCTCTCTTTCTGTGTTCCTCTTCTCCCTATTTGCCCCCTTCCTCCTCTCCACCGGAATGTGGAGGTAGGTTCAAATAACTTCTTAGAGAGCTCTAAACTGATTGCTTATAGAATTATATAGTACAACTCTGCCTTTTCCTGAACTATTTGATTTTGCAAAACATTACACAAAGAAGAATCTAGACATATGATTATGAACTGACCCTAAGTGGAAACCAGCTTCCTTTGTTGATTCTTAGATCAACATTACTTTTGGTCCTGATCCTAGATAAATGGGGCAAACAGAGCAGGCATGCGTTTCTGTGTATGTCCCAGCACTACAGCAAAGAGAATTACATTTTTAATATTTTTGTTATACTACTTATTTCTAATCCTGGATAAAAGAGAGGCCAACCTTATGGCACATAATTATAATCATATATTATTTCTAGCCTTGTTTTTATAGACTGAAATTAGTAGCCCCAACATTTAGTCAGTCTCCTCTTTTTTTCTTTTTTCTTTGCAATGCATTTCCTCCTATTGGTTTGTGTGAGTGTAGCCATCCTGGCCAAAGTCAGGGAGAAATACACGAAAAAACACTGGAACAGCAGGATCATAGTAGAGAATGATTACTGCCAAAGCTGGCAAGTAGAGTACCAGCGAAGGCCTTGTCATTAACTATAGAATGGGGGCTTTAATAAGGTGGATCGCAACAGGTTCTCTTGAAATCTTAAGTACTGAATCTCTTCCTCATATTAGGATGCAAAATACACGGCTGAGAGAAACCATTTATCTGGACAACAAGGGCATTCGTGGAAAATAGGTTTATTAAGCATGTAATAGTATAACCAGATGAATAAGATCTTTAATAAAGAACAGAATTTATGCTTCCTGGGCTGCTGAGAGGCAAGAAGTTAGTAATTGCCACAATATATTTTAAATAAAACATCCTTTCCAAGAAAAAAAAATGACCTGAGAGACAAGATATACACTGCCTAAATTTTCTAAAACATGCAGGTATGCATTTAGTTATTTCTGGTAAAGACTCACCTGTGTTGTGTGCTTCTAACTGAGATAAAGAATTCACAGCCACTTTGCATAATGAACAATACAGTAATTTTTTGGCTTTCTCCTCTTCGGATTCAGAAATGGCAATTGTAGTCCCATTTGTGCTCTTGGAAGAAACTGGCCACAAAGGTGTGGTTACTGTAGCTGCTGCTACTGCTGCTGCTGCACTGGCAGATGCGGATATAAAGGTGACCGCTTCAGCCCTTGAAAGTTGGCTAGAGTCATTAGCTTTCAGAATTGCCCTATCTTAAAGAGAAGGAGAGAAAGAATGAATATGGGGCTGACAATTCTAGCAATACCATTCCAGCAATGCCTTGAAGCAATCTTCCTCAATCTATGGCCTTCATAAAGTATTGATGCTATAATTCCCAGAAATCCCAACTTGTCAATGGTCACACTGTCTGGAAATTCTTGCCCTCTACACATTTGGAAGGCATGAGGTTGCCAAAGGGTAATTTCTGACATCTTTTATGGCAATTTCTTTTAAGAGGAAAGTCTTATATTAATCAGAGTTTGATGGAACTCAACTCAGAAATTTCAACTAGCTCATGAAGGAAAAATGATATATCCAAATAATCAATGCCTGTATTCTTAAAATGATAATTACAGCTTTTGGATTCAACTACAACTATATGAAGAAAAACATCTATAAAAGAATTGTATTGGACAGAATAGGCCTTTCTGCTTCCTTATAGAGGGTTGAATATTCTGAAACTTAGTGATAATGAGAGAATGAGCTAAACTGAAACAAAAATTAACATTTGAAGTATAGGCTATATGCTAGAAAATCCTTCCACTTTTTAATGCAACAGTCTGTCCATGTCACCTGCTTAAGTGTATGCATTAGACTGTTCAGTTGCATATTTTCTTAGCTATTCTAAGATTGTTTCTTACATGGAATTTTACAAAATTAAAATTATCTATCCAAAAATTGCATGTAAAACTCAAAACCTTGAACAAAACAGGGCTTTGTGAAACATAAGTTAAGAAACATCTTCAAAGGAAATCTATCGGTGTTCCCCAAAAGGAGATGGATTACATTGATCTTCTGGGGAAAAGGAGAATTGACCCAAGAATTGAAAAAAAAAAAAAAGTTAACATTGTCATGCTAGCAGCTCTGTCTAGGGCAGGGGTCTTCAAACTTGGCCCTTTTATGACTTGTGGACTTCAACTCCCAGAATTCCTTAGCCAGTGTGCCTGGCTGAGGAATTCTGGGAGTTGAAGTCCACAAGTCATAAAAGGGCCAAGTATGAAGACCCTTGGTCTAGGGTTTCCCCATCACAGGAGGGCTTTGCCTTCTGGAGTTAATGCCAGCCCATGGGAAAACTTGCTTCTTTGAAATGTGACTCCATTCACAAGGATTCAACTTAGCTTATGTCATGAGGCAAGGGAATGTGCCTATATGGGGCCAATTGTTTCAACAGGATATGCTATCCTAAAGCAGGCCAGGCAAAAAATGGCACAGAGGTAATGTCACTGTAATTCCTAAGAGTATATATACTCCTGAGTATAGACACCTCATGACCTTTCTGATTTATACTGACAGCCGGTTTGTTTTTGGAAGAGATAAAAAATGGACAAGCTGAGTTACTTCTTCCAAGTGACTGGGCCAAAGTTATTGAGAGCTTTAAAAGTAATAAAGACTTAAACCACAGGCCAGTTAACTTGAAATATCTTCTTCAGGATGGCTGTCCCCTCCTCAGCTCACTGAAGCCATCTAAGTGCTTTGCCTAAGGATTTTGTCTTAATGGCAGTATAGAAGCTAGATCTGGTCTAAAGTTACATGTGTTCTTCAGAATTTGCTTCCTTGATAAGGAGCTTTACTTAGCTTTGCGTTTTTTTTTTTAAATGGCCTTGAAACAGTCTCTTAGGCAAGCAGAATTTTAGTAACTGATAATGCAAAATTTATTTTTAATACTGTATTCTTAAGTTTAGTAATCATCTTTTTATTGTTGGCCAGGAGACATTTTGCTAATCAATGGTTTTATAAAGATTAATAATAATCAGTATAATTTATGATGCAAGATTGCATGTAACTGCAGCCGTGACTGAATGTTCATTGTTATAATATCATTGGGCAAGAAATATTGACCAATATATAGCACTTAAATGGTCTTGAAGGAAGCAGCATTAGATTTCCTTTACTTTGACTTCAGTTGAGCCACATGCAACCTGACTACTCTCTTTTAAGCAATGTGATGTTACTCATTTTAAGGAATGTGCCTTTACTCAAAGTACAGAAGAAAAGTAAGAAGCAGTAAATAGAAGAAATTAAAGATCGAAAAGCAGAGAAAAGGAAATCTAACTAAATCTCTTTATACCCACATCATTTCTTTCTATCCTTGCAAAACATCCTCATTTCCACTACATGGAATTCCATGCACCAATTCACACACTGCATTTGTTATTCAAATTTATTTCCATCTTTTTGAAGATATTATCAGCCCCATCCAACCATGACTTCTCACTTTTGTCTCTTCTTTCAACCCTTTTATTCTTAATGTAATTATTTTGTGATTTGATCTTCATTAATTCTCTGCACATTCTATGTATATGATCAAACAACCTCAATGTATTTTTTTCATACTAGTTGCTAACTTCTGGATTCATATTAACTCAGCACCCTTTAATTCTTAACTCTCTCTCTTCTTATTTCATCAAACACGTTCTGAGGTATCCTGTTCCCACTGCATTCAACATGCTGCTGTGCTTCTTCTGACATACCCAACTCTCAAATTCATATAATAAAGAGAGTATACACATACTTATACATAGCCATTTTTGTTTCTTCTGACAAAGGTTTATTCCTTGCAAAGGAACAACATGATATCCATTATCTTCTGATCCAAATTTGCATCTACAAGTTTAATAAATTATTATTTTAAAATTTGGCCTTGCATTTTTCCATCTTTAGTAAACACTCCACCAAAATGCCCCTTAATAATTTCTTCTTTTTTTGCCATATATGTATAACTTCCAACTGTTCACATTACATATTTATTTAAATTATGTATTTTCCCTGTCAATACAACTACTCTGAAGTTTGATGCATTGGTTTTTGCCCCCATGCTCTTCACTGCATTATGAAATCCATCTAATATTCACTGCAAATAATTCAGATCCTTAACCAACAAAGCACTTTCTGCATACAAAGGTCTGCACGTATTTATATCTCCAATCAATACACCTCTGTTGTCAACGTAGTCATTTTATCTTATTCCATGCTCAGTATTGAATCATTCGTCCTTTTATTCCCATGCTTAATTTACTTATACAGTATAGCTGTCCTATCACATTCAGTAACCAATGTAAACTATTTGTTGCATAATTCCACCTTATTCATTTTATCATATGCCTTTTCTAAATCAATAACCATATAGTAACTTTCTCACATTTCTCAGCAACTTGTTGAAGAGCAAAAATCTACTCTGCATGCCCCCTGCTGAGCAAAAAGTCCTATTGCACTTCTGAGATTTTGCTCTTTATCACCCCGTATACCATTTTTGATGAGAATTCTGCTGAGCACTTCCCTGACACACTTAACAAACTAATCTCCATTTACCTTTCCTACTTTTTCTTTGTATAAGTGAACAATAATATTCTTACAATCATCAGGCAAAGATGTGGTCTTCAAACGTGTTAAACAAATTGTGTAACTATTCCATAAGCAAACCTCCTCCATATTTTTATACTTCTCTGATTATATCATCTGCATCTACAGTCTGTCCAATTCTGAATGTTCTCCTTTAAGCATTTATAGCTTTACTTTTATTTTTTTCTTGAATGCCTGAATCTAGACGGGCAAGAGTCTAAATGTTCCACTTCTTTCAGAGCTCTCCGACATTACAATCCCACCATATTCTCAACAGCCTTCTTGGAGAAGAAGGGGAGGTTGAAAATAGGGATATAATTCTAACTGTGTTGGGTGTAGGTTTCTTCTTTAAATGGGAATAAACTAAGGTTCAAAGTTGCTGGAACCTTCCTCTTCTACAAGGTAGTGTCAAATAAAGCCTGGATCCAGCCTTTAATTCTTTCCTTGTCTGCTTTTACTAGCCAAAAGGGACAGTGATCAAATTCACAAGCAGCAGAGCGCACATTACAGAATAGTCTGTCTACTTCCTTGAGATCCACAAGTTCACAACCCAAACAACAGTATCAGGCATTATGTTTTCCCATATAGAGTTAATACCAGCATATTCATTAAATGATTGATCAAACAATTACACACTGCATTTGATTGGTCTTCTGCCTCACCTTCTCTTTCTGGTCCATTTTCTACCCTTACTACATTGGCTGGAATTCAGTAAGGGTGAAGAAGTCCTCCTCACCATCCTTATCATTTCCCTAGCATCTGTGCCACTCAAATATTTCATGAAAATAATGACATAGGCAGTGTGATGTCACAGTTCAAATTCTGTCCCTTACATACTTTTGTGAGACATCATGATGAAAGCACAAAGAGTAGTTTACCTTCTGACTTACATTGTGTCATTTGCTTTCTTATCTCACTGTGGGAACTTTTGTTTTAAATTATGCTATGTAAATTGCCTCTATTTTTATTAGAGATGTTTGATCTCTGAATCACTTACGGAGACTCTATTTACCCAATGTAGTACTGTAGTAGGGCATACTATAACAAGCTTTGGTTTTCCTTTACCTTTGGTGCTATGCTAAAGACTCTTGATTAATGCTTTTGGTGTGCAAAACTACAAACCATTTCAAGCATCTAACATGGCTGATGACCAAACTGAAACATGTAAGTTTGTTCTGGATATGGAACAAAATGAGCCTTCTTCTGGATATAGACAAAATGCTGTTTTTCTGAGCTTTTTGAAGCTCAGAAGGATTGGGGAAAGAATGGGAAGAAGTCACAACTATTGGCAATGAAAGCTGAGGAGAAGAAAGGTTTGGAAGATAAGGGAGCATGTCAATGTGATATGCCATGATAGGATACTGGCAATGGTGGCCAATGGAAGGAGGAACTATGGAAAAGAAGGCTTTAGGAATATTGACTCTGCCACTCTGGGAGCTGTTAAGATAGAAGAGGAGAATAAAAAAGATGCACACCAATCTTGACCTACTCATCCAGTAAAATCATTCTGAGCTTCCTTTTTGCTTGGTTTTTTTATGTGTGTTTTTCAGCTAAAACCTGGAACAATAATAACAAAAATGCTCTGGATTGATAGCCACAAGAACCAATCTGGCACAGCACCTTTTCTCTTGGAAAAAAGAATCTTTGCTGATGA